TTATCTATCGGTCTCACGTACCCTGGAAGCGCATGGAAAAGTATGTTTACTTCTTTTTTTCTTTTTCTTTCTCAGTCTCGTCTTTATGTAGGGATCTAAAGAAAAGAATTAGGAAAAAGAGATAAGAATATATGTGTGATTTATTTTCCCCATTTATTTATATTTATTTTGCGCGTTGCGTTTCTCTCCTATTTTTGTCTTTGCCTTGTTGCTTACATTGCATAATTGCACTTGCAACGTTCCTGTGACGTAATGGCTTCTTGTTTTGTTGTAGAAGCTGAATTTAGCTGCGCTGGTATTTATGGATTGGTCTGTGGTCCAGTATTATTCTCTCTCTCTCTCTCTCTCTCTCTCTCTCTCTCTCTCTCTCTCTCTCTCTCTCTTCTCTCTCTCTCTCTCTCTCTCTCTCTCTCTCACACTCTATTCTTGCATATTATGGAGCTCTCTCACTCGGTCTCTCCTTCTCCCTCCCTCTCGCCTTGCCTCCCTCCTTCCTTCTCCCCACTCTTTCTGATGGCCCTCTTCTTTCCTTTCGTGTCTGCGTTATCCTTGCTTACTGCCACCACCACTTATTTCTTACACGCTTAGTGGTCATTGTCCCTCGCTCTCGCTTGTCTTCGGGTTGCCATTCTATCTGTTTATCTGGGGTTCATTTTTTCGTGTTGAATCTATTGCTGTTATTATAAATTTAGTTGTCTGTTTATTTGTTTATTCGTGCGTTTGTTTGCTTATGGTTGGTCATTAGTCCGGACAGATTTAACACACCGATACACGTACGCAAGAACATACAAGTTACGTGCGAGCGAGGTCTAAATATAGAAAAAAACATGAGATAAGGTCTTATTTTTTGAGTGATAAGGCAGAGGGTACAGCCGCTGGGAAATGAGTGAGGAAAGGGTTATGTAAAATCTGGTTGACCCCACTCCACCCCCTCCACCCCCTCCTCATCCCTTCCCTTCCTTTCCCTTCTCTCTTTGGTTTCTCCTCTTCCCTTTCCTTCTCCCTTGGCCTTACCTCTTCCCTTCCTTTCTCGCTTTGGTCTCTCCTCTTCCCTTCCTTTCTCCCCGTTTTTCTCCTTTCTCCCTTCCGTTTCTTTCTCTCCTTCCTTTCCCTTTCGCCCTCTCTTTTCCCTCCTCTTCCTTTTCTTTTTTCCGACCCGCTATCCCCTACTACTCTTCTTTCTATCTTCTCTCTTTTTTCGTCCTTCCGCTTCTCTTTTCTCCCCTGTACATTCCCTATCACTTTCTACTTCCCATCCTCTTTTCTCTTCTCTTCCCTGTTCCTCGGTCTTCTCCCTTCCTCCTTCCCCTTCGCCATACCCTCCCTCCCTTTTCCTTCCCCTTTCTCTTCCCTCCCCCTCCCGTGTTCCTCTCCGCCCTTCCCCCTCTTCCTCTCAACCCCCTTCCCTTCACTCATAGAATAGAACGAGTTTCAACGGCTTATCACGAGGGTTCACATCGTTCGACGTCCCAGACCCAAAATAATGGAGTTAAAAATGTTTGTTTCTTGTTTCTCTTGATATGTTTCAAATAGCCTTGTCTTTCTAGTGATTCTCCTGTTTTCCCTTCTTGATGTTTTTTCTTGTCTCGTTTTCCTTCTACACTTAACCCCCCAAATGATAATATGAATGAATAGGTAAAAATAATATGGATACATCTGGAACGAATCTGCACAGAAGTGTAACCCTGATTTCAATATGGCGAACGTAAACTGCAGCTGGATTTATTGCTGAGTCGTAGTAGTCCTACTATTCATAGTCGTTGCAGTGGCGTAGGATTACGAGGCTATAGGATTACATTCATCACATTAACATAGAGGGAGTCCTGGAGTGGTTATGGAGACGACGAATTGAGAAATTCTGCCAGCAGCCGGTAGTTTCTGGTTAAGTGTCTCGTCCTGTGAAATTGCTTGCGAAGAGTGGCTCTCGTTATTGCCCTTCGTCTGTTGTGTGTGTGCATGTTAGGTGCCCCTCCTCCGCGACTGCATGGGGCGTTCTCTAGGTTTTTTGACATGATTATTTACTCTATCAGCGTGTGCACGACATGGCCGTCGAATGTTTTGATCGTGTCACATGTTCTCCCGGGAAGAGGCGGAGGACGTGGGCCGAGAAATGGACACTTGGCACCCGCGCCGCCAGCCGCAGATAAGCTATGAGGCGGGGGATATAAAGCGGGCTGGAGACGAGCGAGGCATCACACCTAGCCTGCTCTGCCACCTGTGCATACATAGGACTTACCTCCACGCCCCACAACGCCCTCTGCCCGGAGTTGTCAGAGTTCAGAAGGCTAAATTCCGCAACAAGACCATCTCATCCACGTCTTAAAGCAAGGCCCAGTCGCCCCCGGGACGACCCTCTCCTCGCGCCCGACTCGTGTTGCTGTGATGGAATCTGCGAAGGTGATTGACAGCCGCATCCTCCTCGCACCTATTGCCGTGGCTGTGTACCTGCTCGTTGCCCTGGAGTCTTACCTGGTCGAAGCTACGGCGTTCAGTTATATCTTCCAGCAGTAAGTAGGTGCACTCCGCCCCGTCGACGCTGTCCTCCCTTCAGCCGTGAACGAAGAGACGCTCGCTTGCTGAACATCCCGACGTCGGTGCTCACGAGATCACTGGAAGATTTTGCGAAAGCTCTGAAAGTTTGGGAAGAATAATCCCGGCTAGTTTTTTAGACTTTGAAAAAGAAAATTTAAGCCGAAGAAACGTTGGCAGCTTTTGGAAGAACGCTTCGATTAAGGCAAGTTTTCCTACGCCAGAGGACCGTCCGAAGGAGCAAGAAGAGCAAGCCAAGCAAGTTTCGCCAAGCCTTTCCAACCCAGCGACGATGGACTCCTTCATGGCCTTCGACTCCAGCAGCGGGGTGTCCTGCTACCCCAACCATGGCGCGCCTGCCCTCGCGCACGTCGAGAGGGTGCCGTCCGCCACTCCCTGCGAGTCCTTCGAATCCTCGCGCCCTTCGAGATGCACGAAGGAGACGAGGAGGAAGAACGCCCAAGTCATGAACGTGGTGGACCTGCCGTGGCTGCGGCGCGACCTGTCCAACGACGAGTTCAGCCGAGGCCTCGTGTCCCTGGCGGTGCTCGCCCTGTTCGCCATGGTCTCGCTCTCGTTCGAAGGCTACATCACCGAATCGGTCGCGTTCAACTACATTTTCCAGATGTGAGGAAGTACTTGATTCTAGTCTTAAGCCACCGCCAACTCATTAGTCATGTAAGATTATGTATATGATGTATGTTTGTACTGTAAGTAACGTGTATAGATTATTTTTTATATATTGATACTATTTATGAATAAAACAAATATTTGATGTGATCATTTTCTTTCGTTACAACCTCCACCTTGCGTCTCAAATATGATGTGTCTAGATTAACGCGATAAATTAATCATCGAGATAATATTACTTGTGGCGAGACAGTAAAAAATCACTGACTCCGGTGAAGATTTCTAGCTTCTGGCTCACTGCAAACACAGGCTTGTACATAAAAAGTATACACATTTTTATTACAGTTTTACGTCTATGATTTTTTACATGAAGATACACACTAAACTGCCCATGAGATGTGCCACAACTTGACAATTTGTAGAAATTTCTCATCAGTATATGTATGAACTTTGTCACATTTACTTTGTTATAATGTATATTATATGTACTCACCTGCTTTTCCACCCACGACAAAAACTCTTGCCTGCCGCAATTCACAGCAAGAACGGTATCTCCCACAACAAGGGTGGGACAAAAAAAAAGTAAAAAAGTCAACACTTAAACTTGTATATCTTGGTGCGAGTCGCATATTCTTGAAAAAAGAATAAAAATAAGAAGAAAATGGACACAGAATAATAAGAAAAATAAGAATGATAAGAAAAAGCGGACACAGGACGTGGCCGAAGGAAGTCCCATGGCGTGAGGCGCGTCCATTGTGCAGAACAACAGCGGGGCATCCGGAACGTTTTACGCTGTGACAAGGCCCTCTCTCCGGGGCACAGATTACATGACCTCCAAGGCCACTTAAGGGGCAGCTGCGCCTCTGGCCACTCTTGCGCTTTCGTCATGCATGTTGTTAATTAGGGTATCGCGGGCGCTTGCATCGGATGAAGTCTAATTTCGAGGCGGCCTGGTCACTCGCGCTGCTCTGCTGGCATTCTTTTCCTATTTGGTTGTTTCTGTCTCTTTGTCGGGCTCTCAGTCTCTGTCGGTGTTTGTTGTCTGTTTCTCTCGATCTGTCTGACAGTCTGTTTTTCCTCTTAATCTGTCGAAGTCTCTCTCTCTCTCTCTCTCTCTCTCTCTCTCTCTCTCTCTCTCTCTCTCTCTCTCTCTCTCTCTCTCTCTCTCTCTCTCTCTCTCTCTCTCTCTCTTTCTCTTTTCTCTCTTTCTTTCTTTGACTTTCCCCTTTCTCATTCTCGACTCTTCTTCTTCTTCTTCTTCTCGTCGTCGTCGTCGTCGTCGTCGTCGTCGTCGTCGTCGTCCTCCCGCTCCTCTTCCTCATAATCACTTAACAGGATATATAGGATACAACAAACACAGAGCTCAGTGGATACTTCTTTCGTTCAATCTATATTATTATTATTATTATTATTATTATTATTATTATTATTATTATTATTATTATTATTATTATTATCTCAGTGGCTATTTTTTCCGTTCTTTATTATTATTATTGTATAGTTATCATCATCACCAGCATCATTATTATTATTTGCAAGCGTGAATGAGGGGGAGGGGGTGAGGGGGCATAAGGGCATGCGGAAGAAGAGGTTAGGGCATGGATGAAGAGGCACCGGGAATATGGATGAGGGATGGGGAGGGATAGGACTTGTGGATTGAGGCATTAAGGGTGTGGAATGGGGAAGGGGAGAGGAGGCATAGGGCATGTGGATGAGGGACAATTGAGGGGTGGAACGAGGGGTAAGAAGACATATGATATGTGAATAAGGGACATTAAAAGTATGGAATGAGGGGCATAGGGGTTGTAGAATGAGGGGCATTAAGGGTGTGGAATGAAAGCTTAGGGGCATGGAAGAGAGGTCGTCAGTGGATGTGGTTGAGGGGTCAGAAAGGACGGGGCAGAGGGAGCATAGGGGGCATGGGTGAGGGGCATAGGAGGGGTATAAGAGGCGCTGAGAGCTAGAATGAGGCAGTTTAAGGGGCAGTGGTGGGGAAGCATAGGGGGGCGCGAGGGAGGGGCATTAGGGGCGGGATGAGGGGGCATTGGGGGCGAGGGTGAGGGGTATAGAGGGTGTGGGTAGGGGTAGAGGAGGCGCAGAGGGTTAGAGTGAGGCAATGTAAGGGGCAAGGGTGAAGAGGCATAGGGGGCATAACCGGCATGGGGGAAGGAGCACAGGAGAAGGAAGGAGGCATGGGGTGCATTAACGGGAAGGGTGAGGTGGCATAAGGGGCGGGGATGAGGGGTATAGAGGGTGTGGGTAGAGGTATAGGAGGCGTATAGGGCTGAGGTGAGGCAATGTAAGGGTCAAGGGTCAAGAGGCATAGGGGGGCATAACCGGCAAGGGGGAAGAAGCACAGAGTATAAACGGGGAAGAAGTAAGAAAGAAGGCATAGACAGTAAGGCATAGGGCAGGGGTGAGGAGGCATAGGGGGCAGGGATGGGGAGGCATAGGGGGCATAGACAGGAAGGCATAGGGCAGGGGTGGGGAGGCATAGGCGGCGAGAGATCTGAGGTATAAGGAGTGTGGGCGAGGGGGCATAGACAGGAAGGCATAGGGAAGGGGTGAGGAGGCATAGGGGGCAGGGATGGGGAGGACAGGGGGCAGGAGTGAGGAGGCATAGGCGGCGAGAGATCTGAGGTATAAGGAGCGTGAGCGAGGGGGCACAGGGGCATAAATGCGACGAGAGGAGGGCATTAGGGTCGATATGGGCGGCAAGGGCATGGGTGATGGAGCAAGGATAATGGATAATCACTGGGTAAGAGGAAGGGATAATTACGAAGCCGAAGGAGTAATGACTATCGAGGCAATTGACTCATCATGTGTGCGTGTGTGTGTGTGTGTGTGTGTGTGTGTGTGTGTGTGTGTGTGTGTGTGTGTGTGTGTGTGCGTGCGCGCCTGTGCGTGTGCGTGAACATGTGTTTGTATTTATGTAAATTCTCATGTCTGAGAAAGAGAGAGTGAAGTTTTATTTTATTTGTTTTTCCCTTGTCGACCTTTCTTATTTTCCTTTGTTCTCATCCTTTTTCTTCATTTATTTTCAGAAGAAGCGGTCTGACCAGTGTCCGTCTTCGAGATACCAGGTGAGGCTTTCATTTTCCCCTTATCCTTTCAACCGTCCATCCTTCAACTCATCCGCTCATCCAACCTAATAGTCATCAGTCTATTTATTCATCCCGGCGACTATTCATCATTCTAATCATCCATTCATCCGTCTATTTATTCATCCCAGCGACTATTCATCATTCTCATCACCCATTCATCCATTTGTTCATCCCAGCGACTATCTATCATTCTCATCACCCATTCATCCATTTGTTCATCCCAGCGACTATTCATCATTCTAATCTCCCATTCATCCGTCTATTTATTCATCCCAGCGACTATTCATCATTCATCATCCATCTATCTATTCCATTCATTCATCCAACTACCCGTCCATACAGCTATTCATTCACGTATCCATCTAACCATCTATCCATCTAACGATCCATTCACCCGACCATCCTTTCAATTATCCCATTAACCATTGCTACCCATGTGACCATCCATCCAACCATTGGTCAGCCAACCTACTATCCATTTAACTATCCTTCTGTATAATCAACCGCCCAACCTGTCATCCATCCACTCAACCATCCAGCGTATCCTTCAACTATCCGTGTAATTATCCTCTATCCTATCCTCCTCCTTCTCTTCTTCCTTGCCTTACCTCCTCTCAACCCTATTTTCCTCCTATTCTTCCTCCCCCTCCTCCTCCTCCTCCTCCACTTCTTCTTCTTCCTCTCCTCCTCTTTCATTTCGTCTTCTCCTTACCTCCGCTCCCCCTCCTCCCCACCTCATTCTCCTCCTATTCTTCCTCTCCTTACCTCTTCTTCACCTTATTCTCTTCTTCTTCTTCTTCTTCTTCTTCTTCTTCTTCTTCTTCTTCTTCTTCTTCTTCTTCTTCTTCTTCTTCTTCTTCCTCCTCCTCCTCCTCCTCCTCCTCCTCCTCCTCCTCCTCCTCCAGCTGAACCTCCATCATCAAGGTCCCACGGAGCCACCTGGATTGCGTCACACTGATTGTTTCTATTTTTAGTTAACGGGGGTGGGGGTGGGAGGGAGGGGGAAGGGTAACAGTAGGGGGTGGGGGTATTGTTATGAGTGAGTACTCGGGGAAGCGTGGTTTGGTGTTTTAGCCTTCATTCATTCACCTATTTATGTACTGTTATCATTATCACACATACATGCATATATATGTATAGATAGATAGATAGATAGATAAATAGCTAGACACACACACCTATGTGTTGTGTGTGTATGCATTTACTTAAGTATGTATATATATTATGTATTAATGTGATTTATATACATGTAGATATATACACATAACGCATGTGAACGTATGTACACGTAGACTTATTACATTCACGCGCACACTCACATGACCTCCGCGCCCAGTGTCCCTCGGCGACAAACGGAAACAGCGCCGACCTTAAGCCTAAAACGGACCCTGAGAGCCAGCCATCTGAGATCTGATATCAGTGATGGCCGCTATGTGATTCTTTTTTTTCTCATTATAGGGGGGAGGGGACGGGGGAGGGGAGGGGAGGACGGTCAGAGTGCAAGTGCGAGATTGTGTCTATATTTAGACGCTTTGGTGGAAGTGCCGGAGGGCCAGGTTGTGCCACACCTTGACCTGGTCCTTGGGTTGGCACTGGGCTCGGGCTGTGTTTTGTTTTGTTGACGGGCGCTGATTAGCGTTTTTTCTTGTCTTTTTAGAGTTATTCTTGACTTGCATCTGTTTTCTGTATTTTTCTTTCTAACAGAATAATACAGACATTATATATATATATATATATATATATATATATATATATATATATATATATATATATATACATATATATATATATATATATATATATATATATATATATATATATATACATATATATACATTACACTCCCCACACACTCCCCCTTCTCCTCCCCCCCTTTCCCCCAACCGAAGTTTCCGGCTCGCTTCGCCGTCGCCGCCGCTGAGGCTAGCAACAAGCGCGGTTTAACCTTGGTCATACTTGGCGGCGATTCCTTTGTTTTAGCTCCGTGGCCGCTTGGCTGGGCGTGTTATTAAGTGTTAGAATCACGCGAGGCTCTGAAGGTGTGTGTCGGGTTGGTTTTGGATTTTTTTTTTTTTTTCCATTATTTCTCTTATTTTTTCATGTATGATTCTCGAGTATGTTTTTTGTATCATTGTATTTATTTATTTATATGTATATGTATATTCCTTTCTTTCTTTCTTTTTTCTTTCTGCGTGTGACGTTATTCTCTATGTATTTTTGTTAATTTTTTTTTTTTTTTTTTTTTTTTTTTTTTTTTTTTTTAACAAGCCCCGCAGCCTTTAATAAGTGGAATGAAAATATTTTTAAAGGAACCCAAATGGAACACGAAACACCCGTTTGACCAGTTCCTTGTTAAGGGAAGTCTCCCCCCCCCCATCTCCAACTCTCCACCCCCTCTCCATCACCTCCCCACCACCCGTACCTCCTTCACCACAAAAACTTCCTATGATCATCTGCTTGGGTGACTTTGAGAGAAAAGGAGGGAGAGGAGAGGAGAGGAAGAGGGAGGGAGAGAGAGAGGGATCGAGAGAGAAATACAAACTATAGCTCTAGTTATGTTCGTTATATATATATATATATATATATATATATATATATATATATATATATATATATATATATTATATATATATATGTGTGTGTGTGTGTGTGTGTGTGTGTGTGTGTGTGTGTGTGTGTGTGTGTGTGTGTGTGTGTGTGTGTGTGTGTGTGTGTGTGTACACGGTATTTCATTTTCAGTATTATTTACGCCTTTTCTTTTTTATATTTGTTTTTGTTTTCTCTTCATACCCAATGTACCTTCACCTACCTTGACCTATCCAGCCTCCCCTCCCATCTCTCTCCTTTCCTTCCCTCACCCTCCCTCCCCTTCCCCTTCCTTGCCCTTCCTTCCCCTCCCTCCCCTCTCCACCTACCTCTTTTCCCACCTCCTCTCCCTTTCCCTATTCTCCCTCACCCCTCAACTCCCGTCCCCTCCCAACCCCTTCCTTCCCACCGCTCTCCCTTCTCCTATTCTCCCTCCAGTCTCTCCCCTTTCCTTCCATCACCCTCCCCTTCCCTTCCTTCTCTCCTCCCCTCCCCTCCCTTCCTCTTCCTTGCTTCCTACCTTTGCCCTCCCTCACTCCTCAACTCCCCTCCCTTCCCATTCCCTTCCTTGCTTCCCCCTCCCCTCCCTCACCCCTCAACTCCTTTTCCCCCCTACCCTCATCCACCTCCTCTTCCCCCTCCCTACCTTCCACCTCCTCTTCCTTCCCCTCCCCTACCTACCTCCTCTTCCTCCCCTCCCCCACCCATCCAGCTCTTCCTTCCCCCTCATCCACCCCCCCCCCCCCTCCTTGCCGACAACACACGCCTAACGAACATGTGACAATCTTGACAAAGAGAAGTCCGTACCTAGATCCACTCTAGCGTTATCAGTATGGGGGTCCTGTATTCTTTTTTTTCTCTCGTAATGCAAGGCCTGATAAAAGCGTCTAAATATAGGCTGCCCTGATAACCCCCTGCGCCTCTGCCTCTCACTTTTCATCGAGGATTGTGTGTGTTTTGGGGGTTTGTGTTTACGTTTGTGTGCGTGTTTTTTTTCTTTATGTAGGATTTTGTTTTGGTTTGTTTCGTTTGTCGGTGAGAAATAGGTGTGGATGGGATGAGTCGGGTGTAGGTGAGAGGGAGAGAATAAATAGGGTTCTTCAAAAAAAAAGTTTAAAAGTTTTTTTTCTAAATCTACGGACATATTTTGCCGGGTTTTATTTCGTCTCTCGTAAGGCCTCTCATCTTACCACATCCTCTTACAAGAAAAAAAAGAAAAAAGATTCTATGGTTGTTATTCTACTTATAAATACACTTTACCTCTCCTCCTGCCTGTTCTTCTAACCAGTCCTCCCTCCTCCATCCCATTCCTTCTCTGCCTTACTCCTCCTCGAACCTACCCTCCCTCCATTCCTCCTCTTCCCTCCTCCATATCTTCCTTCTACTCCTGTTCCCTCCTCTAAGACAGCCTACCCTCCCTCTTCCCTCCTATTTCTTCTTTCCTTAATCCTCCTCTAACCCACCCTCCCTCCATTCCTCTTCCCTCCTCCTTATCTTTACCCTTCCTTCTCCCCCTGACCTCTCCTCGAACACAACCCACCTCCTCTAACCCACCCACCCACCCTGCGCCCTCGTTATCTACAGTAATGATTTTTTTTCGGGTCGCCCTACACTGATAGCCTATCTCGCTAGGCCTGCAGTGATAAGAATAACCCTATCGTCCCCTATATTATCAGCCTGGTTCTAAAAATAGACCTAGAACTACGTTTGCGACACCTAAACACCACCAAACCTCGTGTATCTGGTGCGTGACCTGAGATAGGGAGGGAGGGAGAGAGGGAGGAGGGTGGGAGAGGAGAGAGGGAGTGAGGGTCGGAGAGGGGGGAGGGTGGAAGAGGGAGAGAGGGAGAGAGTGAGAGAAAGAGCATGTGGAAGTTATGCAAGACAGGGTCCGGGGTCAGTAGATCCAGCTTGATTTCGGGAGCTAAATATAGAAGCACGGGAGATAATAACCTCCTGTTTGATGGGGCCTTTTTTGTGCTTTTTTTCCTTAAGTGCATTTAGATA